TGCTATTAATACTTAGTCAGCGGGGGTAATGTTAGCATCGGGACGCGCACCCAACTTTCAGTCACAGTCAACATTTCTTATCTTATACACTTTTATTTTTTGCTTTCAGTTTTGCTATCTGACTGTTGTAGTAGTAATAATAATAATAATAATAATAATAATAATAATAATGCATTTTATTTATATAGGCGCCTTTCAAGGCTCTCAAGGTCTCCGTACAAGATACAAAAACGCACAAAACAACCGACAGAAAAACAAGACAAAGCAGTATATGATCAATGAGAACAGAGCATGTGTCATGATAAGTAGTGATCATGGTGGATATGCCATTGTAAAGAGATACTGTATGTTTTGAGAGGTGATTTGAAAGTGGTTGTGCTTTCCGTGTGCCCTTTATACTGTATGTGTGAGCAGACTCACTGATGGTACCAGTTGGGAACATGACAGTTATTTGCTTGGACACCATAGAAGAAGAACAGGAGAAGGCCAGGTTCTTTTCCCAAATTGAGGCGGGGCCTTTATCCACTATAGATTACTCCAAGCTGAACAGAGTGCTGGACTCAACAAGCTCTACCCTCGCTACTCACCACAGGTATGTACATTTATTTTACTAACTGTGGTGGAAATCTGAAATAAGTCTTGATATGTGTTTTAAAGAACGTGTTCCAATGAAATGGCCCTTGAAGATCACGGTTGTAATGTTATAAGGATACAAATTGTCCCTGTAGGGAAGCTGATGCAGAGGGGAAGCAGAGTGAAGATCAGAGGAGAGTCACAGCGATCAGCAGGGAGTCTCCAGGTAGAGAAATAAACCCTTTCTCTGTTTCCTGTATCTCTTGTAGTTCTGTTTGTCTCAGTCAGGCGTTTTCTCTCAACCATTACAGGATCTCCACATTACAGTGAGGATTTTGAGGAAGAGGAAAATGAGAAAGAGCCGCTGGAGGAGGTTTGTATTATAATTTAAATCCTGGCTTGTACATACATACAAAAACAACATAATCCATGTGTTAAACTGCTATAGATTTACGTTAGCATGAGCTGCTCTTCTGCCTCCAAAAAAACAACTAGCTCAATTAGTCTGGCATCCAGTTCTACACTGCCATCAGATATTCTTCTTCTGACATAATGCTATCATCTGTTTTTCAGAAACCGAAGATGTCTTCAATTCTTGCCAAAGGTAAGAGGAAAAAAAGACATGATATTTCTATTGTATTTCTATAATTTTTTCTATTCTATGAAGTCACCCATTTCACTGAGTTCATGGGTGGCTGTTCTTCAGTGTCAGATGCCTAAGACAAGCATGACATAGCACTTATACAACAATAATAACACAAATAATATACTGTGCAGGCAACATTCATCATGCATGAACCAAACAAGTGATCGTTTATCATGGTCATGTAGCTCTGTGTTAGATCCTTTGAGCACAGTTCAAATGAATCCGTTTGGTGATCAGGATTTTGTCAGTCAGTGTTTGACCAAACTGAAGAATACAATAACAAGTAGGGCCTCTCTAACTTTACTCCTGTCTCAGTTTCTCTGCATGATTCCCTGGATGACACAGCAGACAGAAGAAAGGACTCAGCAGGGTCACTGGACAGAGGTAACACAAACACACGGGCTCAGTCATTAGGGGCTTGGACTGGGAGCCGTAGGGTCACGGTTCAAGTCTCCGACCAGACCTAAATATGGAGTGTGGACTGCTACTTGGAGAGGTCCCAGTTCACCTCCTGGTTGAGTATGATACCAAAGAAAGATTTAAAGTGTTCACATTTAACGTACAGCAATTATCATTATATAGACATTTTAGTAATTCTCAGGCCGGTCTTCTTTACAAAGAAAGCTTTTATTTAGGCGAAGGCCCTGTCTTAACAGGATAAAGTTAATAAAACATCATAAAAACAACACACTTACAATATTACACAACATTAAACAGATTAAAAGCACTTTTAAAGTGATGAGTTTTTATTTGAACATGGATAAATTAGTGTATTGTTTTGGGAGAGACTTCCAGAGGGAGGGGGTGGCGTCTATGGATAAGGCTCTGTCCCCCCAGGTCCGCTGGGGGTTTAGCAAAAATCCAATCCCATTGAGGGAAGGGGGTAGGGGCTTAAAAATAAATGTCAAGAGTTAAAAAGACAGAAGCACACATCCAAACATTTCCAACACAGCCACTCCTGACATCCAGTCCTTCCCACACCATGCTCCTTCTGTTCAGGGCGGGCCTACGTGCAGAGTGGAGGCTCAGATATGGAGGCTGTCCATGAGGCCTACAGGCAGATCCAGGTTGTGGAGGATTCAGAGGACCATCATCTCCATTATTCTTCTCTGGAAGGAAGGGTGGGCCTCACCATCACCCCACTTCCTCAACACAAGCAGTCTCTTCAGCCGGCTGATACCAATGAGTCAGGTCAGACACATCATCTTTATAAGTCCCTGCTTTACCTGGGGTTATGCTGCATCACCAAGCTGAAAGAAATGTTCCTTATATTAAAAGTCTCACAGCAAGTCAAGTCCAATGTATTTATATAGCACATTTCAACACAAGGCAATTTAAAGTGCTTAACAAAACATTATTAAAAGCATTTTTGTAAGATATGACTAGTTATTTGATTTAATGAAGCCTAGATTTAAAAGAATTGAGAGTTGCAGCAGACCTGCAGTTCTCTAATAGTTTGTTCGAAGTATATAGAGCATGATAAATGAATGCTGCTATCAATGCAAGGCTAAATCCTCTTTTTTGCTGCCCTCGTCCACACCAGTATGTTGCTTAGCCCCAGGACAGTAACTGTATGTTTTTTTCAAACTGGGGGCCTGCTGACTGCCATCCACTATGGGTCTCACTCTGATTATAAGTTCATCATAAAGCCCTATTAAAGTTCAAACTTCCCCTTAAAAGGGTCTGATCTCTGAAAGGTACAACTAGGTGTCCTTTCCAGCTGTCAGCTCACACACCTTCCTGCTCTGGTTGACCCTTCAGTGATGCTGTTAGGCAGTCCTAAGGCATCAGTCCCTGGTACATACTGTATGTGCAGGACAGGACTGAGGTATGTTGAATAATTATTTGATTTTTGCTGTAGAGCTCCCCACTGCAGAGGAGTTGATGAGACCCATCCGTCCGGAGCAGGATGATGTCAGAGGCTTCACCCTCCAGCCTGTCAGGTCAGGATTCATTTTACTTTGAATTATCTAAAATCAAAAGGAGGCGGTTGGTTTTTGTGTATTTTCGATTGTTCCCTGGTTGGTCTTAATGCAGTCATTTATTAGACTTTTTGACAAATTTGAGGACATTTTAAATGTATAAGGATCAAGATCTAGCATAGAGTGGTGCAGGGATTAATCCTACAGCCAGAAATAAGCTAGCATTTAAGTAGTTATATCTCACACAGGCTCCGCCCTCTACTGGACTCTATGGGTACTATCTCTCAACTCAAGTGGTGCAGGGATTAATCCTACAGCCAGAAATAAGCTAGCATTTAAGTAGTTATATCTCACACAGGCTCCGCCCTCTACTGGACTCTATGGGTACTACCTCTCAACTAGGGGTGCAACAACTAATCGACTTAATCGATTAAAATCGATTTCTAAATTAGTTGCCAACTAATTCAATCGTCGATTCGTTGGTGACGTCATCACGTGTGTTTTACGCGCTGTTAAGCTCCAACGTTATTGGTCTTTTTATCGGTACTGGAGACATTTAAAAAATATATGTCAGGTATTATTGCTACAAAAACATTATATCGCAGTCTTAGTGTCGCCAACTCGTTTCTAATATGCAAAAAGACAAACAAATGCGTCTATGATGTATTTTCGATCAGATGAGATCTCTCTCTCTCTGTGTGCGAGGGGGCGGGGCAGTTTACACACACACAGCTGCTACATGCAGCAACACACTGCGGAGATGGCGGAGAGAACGCCCTCCGAGGTGTGGTAAGGGGCGGCGCCAGGGGGGAGCTAGGGGGTGCTGAAGCACCCCCCAGGATTGCCAAAGCACC